TTCTGCTTACAAAGTAGACTTTGCCTGGCAATGTTACGTATTTTAGATGATTCAACTAATTTGTTGAATTTCTGAATCGTCTGTCTTTAACCTTGTTTGGTTGCTTCATCAAATGCCTCATACTTTTCTCCACTGCCAGATCAATTTTATGTGAACTTCACAAATACGGCAATAACACAAACTCAAATAAAATACGCATCGGACGAATTCGATTAAAAAGTCTAAGGAAATAAACGACTGACCAAACCCAACCTTGCACAGAACCACCCCCTTGAAGAAATACCACTAACACGAGACAAAACGACTGACGAACAGTGAGTGAGACCTCGTCTGGTAAGCAAGATAGCTTTTTTGGAGTTTGGATTCCATTAAGACTGGAATGCGTGCTATCGTCGTAGCGGATCTCCGCTAGACATTGGTAATCGTTATCGGGGATTTGGGATCTCCGCGGTTGGCTGATGCGACCCTGGGAAGACTTTATCTTGGAAAAGGAAACACTTTGGCGGGAATATCACGGCTTACTTTTTGATAACGGTTCCCGAGAAATATTTTTTTGTTTTTCTTCCTTTTTTTTGACTTTTCTTAAATGAAATATTTTATTTTAGATTGCATTCTTTTACGTCACATTCCTCGAGAGGGACAGGAGGAGAGGGGTGGGAAGAGTTTAGGTTCTTGTTTACTCAACAATAGTAATAATAAATGTTGCGACAATGAATGCCCGCCCCCTATAGCGTTCTCTGTAAAAATGTGTAAAAAACAAGGAGGAATGCACATTTAAAGGATACACAAGCGTACGAGCCAGTAATGCATTAGTTAACAAATTTTGATGCGCAGAACGTGAAAATGATCATCAGTTTGTTTGCCTCTTTTTCGCCTTCGACAAGCGACTTTCCGGAAAACAGAGCACAACTGTGGAAAGTTTTGTCTTTCAAATTTTCCCAAAATGTTCCTCATTTAGTGGTTAAATTTGGTGATGTCTCCTGATTCCAAGCTTTTAACGCCTATTCCCCAAGCTTTTGGTGCCCGCTACCTGTAGCACTCATCCGTCCGTTATGATTTTATTTCCTGTAATGCTCCCAGTAATTCAGACTACTGCATATGCATTAAGACCAGCAGTGTCCTCACTGGCCCCTACCCTTGTCCTTTTCTGTGCGTTTGGCACTCATCTTCTGGCTGCAGCACTCTTTTTCGCAAGAATTTGCAGCGTGGCAAGAGCTACTCATGCTACACCTTCGTGCTCCCCCTGTCAGCTCCTGGCAGTTTATTGACCGATCTTCCCGTGTACCTGGACTCAGTGAAAAGACGAATGCACTGGAAAGGCGGCCAACGGCCCACCGCAACCCGCAGCAGTCGGTGCCACGCAAGGGCCGAACGACCACCAGAAAACACCGGCACCCGAAAGAATCACGCACCTGCTTGCTACGGCTGATGAAATCGATCCCGCGCCGCACTGCACACACCAGTCACCAAAGGCCGTCCGCGAACACTGAGCATCCTTGCAAGCAGAACCTACTTATATAGGCAATGACCGACACTTTGACAACTAGGCCCGGACCGACCGCGCAACATACATTCATTTTTGAAGCTTTTGGTTTCGGGCTCCAGTTGCGAAAGTCGTGTTGCCGGCGTTTTTGTCTAGGCGATACTTCAGGCATCACTCTTGAAGCTGCTGACTTCCCTTCGGCGACAAGTTACATATGAATATGGGAAACACGTATAGGCCCCTCTCCCTCATGAACACCTCCTCTGTTTTTGACTTCTCGCTCATGCGGGGGTTTCAGCTCCTTTGCAATCAGTAATCCTCTCTCTCCCCCCCCCCCCCCCCCCCCCCCCCCCCCC